ACATGCTCATTGTGGAAAAATTGGAAAATACAGAAAGAAAATAAGAATATGAAGTACAGTTACCTAATTCTATCATTTGAAGATAATCATTGTTTACAGTTAGGAGTATTTCCTTCTAGTTATATGTTTATATGTTTTGTTTTGTTTTTACCTCAGGTACACAGGATTGGGTTGGTCGTAATTTTTAGTTCAAGACATATGCTCACCATTGTTTCTCTTTTAACTTTTGATAATTTATCTTTAATAGTATATTTATTTACAGTTTTTTTTTAAGGCATAAACTCCTGTGGCTCACCACCCAACATGGAAAGTAGAACCATAACAATAACCAACCTGTGTGGTCTCACCTCCACCCAGCCCTTCCTCCACCGCTGGTAACCACCATCCTGACTTCTCTGTTCATCTTCCTGCTTCCCTTTTGATTGTATATTTATATTTGAGTTGTCTTCACCTTCTAAAAAGTTACTACAGTAAGCAATATATTGCTGAGATTCATTCATCTTGTTGCAACAGCCTGTAGTTCATTTATTTTGTATAATACTCCAATGTGACTTTACCACAGTTTATTTATCCACTCTCCTTTCCATGGGTATTTGGGTTATTTCCAGGTTTTTCCCACAGACGGTGCTGCAAGGACCATTCTTGTACCTATCTCCTGGTGTACGTGTACAGGAGTATCCCTTGGGCATATACCTAAGAGTGAAATTGTCAAGTCATAGTATGAAACTACAAGTTTACAAATAAGGCCATACTGTTTTTCAAATAACAAATTAACCTCTCTATGGAAATAGATAAAGGGTAGAAACTATTAAAGATTAAACATCTGTAAATATTACTCATGGCTTCATTTATGCTATCATCTGACATAATTGTTTGCTTATTCTCTACGTAAATTTTACTTCAAGTTTTAGCTTAAGGTTCACTTCCCCCATGTAGACTTTTCTGGTTAACCTATCCCACAATGTTTTCCCCTGTGAATTTCGTCAGTAAATGTATAAGCTGTGCTATCCTATCGTTTCATTGCTTTTACGGTACCTTGAAATTATTCTTTAGGTCACTGTTACCTACATTTTCATCCTAACACACACTTGTACTTTTTAAAACTTGAGTAACATGTCTCAGCTCCACCATATTAGTACCTGCTACTCAGAAACTGGCAAAGGAGAGTATCACTATACGTTTATAGAGGAAATCAAAAATAGAAGGGCAAGTGTGATTATTTAACCATACATAACAGGAAAGACCTGTACATGTTTAGAGAAGCAATGAGATTCCCTTGAAACTTTCGTTGAGCATAGAGTTTTACCTAAGTTATAGTGCAGAAAACCTACTTCAGAACTCCATGAACAATCAGAGATCGCTAAGAATCGAGTTTTTTCTTCCCCTTAGGGAGTTCATTCGCACAGGTGGACCGTGCATTTTGTATCTCATTGTGTTTCACCCTTTGCTTTGGTTGGTAGGAAGCTTGAAGGTGAATTTCTGGCCCCCCGTTAGCAATTCTGGTATGTAAATGGACTTTCATCTTGGCTTCCTTTACTCTTTTTTTTTTAAATTTTGTTTTGAAGGCTTTTTAAAGATTTTATTTTTTCCTTTTTCTCCCCAAAGCCTCCCGGTACATAGTTGTATATTTTTCGTTGTGGGTCCTTCTAGTTGTGGCATGTGGGATGCTGCCTCAGCGTGGTTTGATGAGCAGTACCGTGTCCGTGCCCAGATTCAAACCAACGAAACACTGGGAACTTAACCGCTCGGGCACGGGGCCAGGCCCTCCTTTACTCTTAAACGCCTTCTCTCTACTCATATTTTGTTATATTTATTTTGTTAATTTGTCTCAAATCTTTTCTGGAACACAGGGGGATATTAGTAAATGACCAAATAAATACATGAATACATGAATGAATATACAAAAAAATATGATGAATCAAATCAGATAAAATGCATCCAAAGTTTATGTTCTGGATGCTGAATTCCGTGCTGCCCATTGTCCTCTCAGCCGAGGTTCAGGGAGTAGGGAACTTATTCCCCCCACAGCTGAGGATTGTAGACTGCGTTGCCCTGAGAGGAGCAGCCTGGGCAGGGAACCTGCTGCGTCTGCTTCCTGGCCTCCCCTTTGCCCCGACCACCAGGGCAGTCCCTAGCTGTATTTGGCATTTGGATTTTATTTAAAGAAAAGGTTTTGATGCAATAAAAGTGCAAAGTTGTCTCTACACTACACACTCAATGCACACACATCAGCTAACTGTATTAACCCAGTGCTTTACTGTGAGCTGTCTTACATTCTTCACCTACTCCTGCAGTCCAGAGTCAAGGGAGGTTACAGGCACATCATGCGATCTGTAGCTCTGCTTCTCCGAGAGCATCTCTAAATAGGCAGAATACTTTTTGAACCTTATCATAATTTATACATATAAACCTTAGAAGTATTTTATAGAATGGAGAAGAGAGATGACTACTCATCCAAGTCGTATTAAGACAGTCCTAAATATAGATACTAGTAAATCACTAATTCATTTTGCCATTAGAAAGTAGGTATAACTTTTGGGATATAATACCCACTTGCTTGCAACTTTTATTTTTTTAAGATTGGCACCTGCACTAACAACTGTTGCCAATCTTTTTTTTTTTCCTCCTGCTTTCTCTCCCCAAATCCCCCCAGTATATAGTTGTATATATTTGAGTTATGGGTGCTTTTAGTTGTGGCATGTGGGACACCGCCTCAGCATGGCCTGATGAGCGGTGCCATGTCCGCGCCCAGGATCTGAACCAGTGAAATCCTGGGCCACTGAAGCGGAGCATGTGAACTTAACCACTCAGCCATGGGGCCAGCCCCAGCTTGCAGCTTTTTAAGTGTACCAAGCCATAAAGGAGGAAGACAATCCTCTGGCTTTCGTGTAATTGGACGTATGTTGCATGTGCTGTACACCTGGCAGACGCATGGGTATCTTGCTAGCTGTTGAGTTTCAGGATCCATTTTGATTACTTCTCTCAAATGAGGCAGGAGGTGTCCCATTTACATGGATACAAACATTTCTGCTGCCTTTTTTTCTCTCTCAATACTTTGTTCCTAATGACAACAATCATACGTTATTGTGTTTAGCGGTGTATATTTCTGTTAGACTGAGTTCCTTAAGGGTCAGAACTGTGGTTATTTATCTCCACCTCCCTAGCAACTAGTGTATGATTGGCACACAATAAAATAATTATTAGATAGGAACTAGAATATATGAATAGAATATATGAGGTCAGGTCTCACAAGTCCCCTGCCCTACCAGTTACTATATGTTTAATTATTCAGTCAACAAATATGTGAGAGCTTTCGATGTGTGAGGCGTTGTACTATACACTGGTGATACAGCTTCCGGAATGGGCTGTAACTCAGCCATGACCCAAACCTAATACGACTGAGCAGGAACCACGAGCCCCAGCGGACAGAGCTTCTTAGGGAAGATCTACTTTCCTCTCTCATAAAGAGGAACTTGTGGAGCCCCAAACTGCTTTTCCCCTTCACTCTGGGATCAGGGAAGAAAGGGGAGAAGGCACATGACATATCCAAGACCCACACTCACCACACTCACCAGAATACCATAAGAAGAACCAAATAATAAAGTTTAATTTGAATATATTACATAATAATAATAATTCTTTTGAAGTATAAAAATAATTTAAAAATTTTTTCCACTTGCAAGTAATATTTGCTACAGACTATAAATAGTACATTGATGCTACAAACTGTCCACACCATACTACAGTCCTAAGGCTGGGCCGTCCTCTCTGCTATATCATCACATAGAAGGCAAACAGCCGCGCAATGCTACTCTGCCGTCTTGAGACCCTGCCAAGACGTTTCAGAAGCAGCTATCCCTAATAGCAGAATTGAATGGTATCTCTCTTAAACTAGTCTTTATGGTTTTTGGCTCAATTCTATAGATTAAAAACTTTTTAAAAAATTAGTCTAAAATTCTGGGAATTACCATTTTTGGACTATCTGTAGTTTTTCAAAAGACAGGAAAATGGCAGGGAGAAGCTAGAGTGTTAAGTTCAGTGAAAGCTCATTTAAAAGCAAATCACCATCAATGGAAAAGCTTTTCAAGTATAAGAAATTTGAAAATAATAGCTATTAAGTGGAAGACAAATCCATTGCCAAAAGCCAGTAAGGAGTTCCATCTGTCTTTTTCCACTACTATGTTTCCTAATATTTTAAGTGAGGTAAGTAAGAATCACAAGAAAGATTCTAAAAATTGTAGCAGGTTCTGCCCAGATCCGACCCACCTAGTATCTTAGACACTGAGAACCAATTATTGAAAAAGTAGGAACAACATAGCAAGGAAACAGAGAAACTTTGGCATATGAAAAATGATGTAATTTTGTTTTCTAAAATTCACTTATTCAGGCCAGTTTCTTGTGATGTGTGCTCTGCACTGATCAGACCCAGGTCCAAGGTAAAAGATGGGGAACTGGCCGTCTTTCCGAGGAGCGCCGAAAGCACCCCTTCAACTGTCCAGAAGGCAAAGGCTCTCTGTGCCCACTGATCTTCCCCCTCAGCTGCCTTGACTCCTGCTGTGTGTACAGCTTCTCCAGCCACAGTGGATGGTGGGGCTCTGGGTGGGACAACTGAGGCAGCCTTACAGGAATTCTTCCGTCTTTAGTGCTTTAGGGAATTTCGACTTTTTTCAGTTCTCATGCTGGATAGCGATGGCTCTGTACTTTCTACACCTGTAATACTGGCTACCTTAAACTAATAGAAAAAATTATATGGTGTAGAAACAAAGGTAATCTAGTACGTAAAAACATGTAAGTCTATCTTCTGAAAATAGGTTGTGAGCCTCAAAATGCTCAATTGTATAATAGGTTCATGTTGTGAGAGCTCAGAAACATGAGGCTAGCACATGACTTAGGACAGAGAATCCAGCTATTAGGAGGTCCCTCAAAGGGCTCACACAATCCATGTCTATTATCATTACATTAATGAATGGCCACAATGCATATATGTAATCTTTGCAGCCTTAACTTCAAAATTGATCTTTATTCAGGAAGATACATGAAGAAAAAACCTAACTCGTTTTGTTACCTAAAATGTAATGAAGTGGCTAATGAGATTTGTACACTTTGTTTCCTGAATATCTTTAAATGTACCGCAGAGACTTTTTTCCTAGTACTCACTTTTTAAACAACTGCAATACTCATGTTACTCCATTGTAACATGTTGTTATCATCAAGAATTCAATTACGCAAAGAGTATTCCCATAAGCCTATTATCTATTAATGACTGGACAGTCTGATAAAGGATCTTACTGCCATTCTTAGAATCACATGGCTATTTATAACCACTGCTCTCCCAAGATTCAAAGAAGCATTACAAAACTCTATGGAATTCCCCAGTAAAATGGGATAATGTACATGGATGGCTAAAATTAAGATGATAGAATGACGGTGACTCTTGAGCATTAAAGGCATTTGTTATTGCAGCCAGGAGAAAATGCTGTGGAATGCTAATATAAAAAATGTTATGCCATTCTCCTCAAAGTCAGTCAATTACAGTATAAGAGGACTCTGAGTATTTCTGGAAGAAAGGCACCAGACAAGTCCAAAGTCTTATTGCTAGTCAGATCATACAGGAGCCACAACACAGACTGTGGCTCCTAGTCCAGCCAGGAGGCTAGGTCTAAGCAAGCCAGCCACTGATCTGGAGGCTCGAAGAACAAGGAAGGAAAGGTCAATAAAACAGAGCCCTGCATCCTACATGAAACTTGAGGAAAGTGATTTCCAAGTTTATGTCAAAGCCGTGACTGTTCCCAAGGACTCTGGAGCTCCTTTAGACAGGCACTCTGTTCTCCTTGGCCCATTTTTTCATGATCCGGATGATGTACTCTACTTGGGTGTTACCCGTGCTTCTCAGTAAATGGAGCACTTCTCGAAGGGTCTCTCTGAGGAAAAGATTTGAAAGGACAAAGTGTTTCAATAAAGAATGCAAATTAACAAGTAAAATAAACTCATAATAGTTCTTTATATACTGCTTATAGGGCATTTTTGGAAATAGGCTCTTTCACTGTGTACAAACTTCCTAGGCTTTTATTCTTATGGTGGCACAGTAAAATGGAAACTGAAATCCTTCTCACCAACACAAGTTTTCCTTGCTTACTTACACTATCTATATACATGCTATTAATCTTTGTCCTAATATGACATAAATATTTTCATTTCTATGCTTCTTCTGCATGGCAGAGTAGAAAGAGGAGCTAGGTTGAAAGAGTGGGTTCAGCTTCTAGCTCCATGCTAACAAGTCACTTAACTCGTCTGAGTCCCCGATTTCTCCTGTTTAAGGTGATAATCACCTTAAACTGGGTGTCACTGGCATATAGATAAAATTTTATAAAGCCAGAGGAATAGATGATTTCTTCAAGAAAAATAATTTATTAATAAATATAGAAGAAAGGAAAGTTAAGAACCAAGATTTGGTAAGTGCCCAGTATTTATGTTTTAAGTAATTTAAATTTAGTTAAAATTAAAACTCATGTTTTAAATAATGCATACTAAAACTTTCCTATTACCTTATCAAATCTATAGGTGACTGCTTATTGATCCTCTTCCCTAAGAGTTCCCTCATATTTTCCACTTTTTTCCCCTCAAATATCCTCTTTTTCCTAACCAAATTCTTTTAAACTTTTACTTAGGATTGGAAGTAGATATAAGTCACGTAGTAATTTTTGATAGATTATTTACTTACAATAATCACATCTCCTATTCATACATTAGTAACAAACAGATTCCATGAAGTTATTTTTAGAAAACTTAATTTAGTTTTAAGTATTTAAATTTTTGTTACAAATGGAGCTATATGCCATTTAATTTTATGTATCCTAATATCTCAGTATTTCCTGGAATATAAGAGGGAAGAAGAAAAAAAAAGAATTATCAACCACACTCACTCCATTCCTAATTCTTTGAGGCCTAAACTAAAAGACACAAGAAAAAGCAAACAGGTCAAAGAGGAGAAGAGATTGAAAAAGACTTGGTTTATGAAAATTGCCATTCATTTGGAGCCAAATCTATATCTTGTTCTTGTGTTTGAGAGCTGTAGCATACTCTATGTCCCCAGGACATATGATTTAGAATGATCTGATTTACAAAATAAAAAATTTTTGGAGGAAAAGGTCAGATAGAAATATAAAAAGTCTTAACCTTTTATTCATCATTCTAAAGCATCATTAAAATTTTGAGTTTTCAGAAGATGTCACCCAAGAAAACAATTCCTTTCCCTCACAGGCCAGCAAATGAACAGAGGGAGGGCTCTCGTCTGCTTACTTACTTGGGTTCTCTCCCAGCTAAGATCATCTGGAAGATGCCTACACAGGCACCCCTCTTGCCTTCCCAGTATTCAGGGTTGGGATCCAGCCTCTCTAAGACATCGAATGCTTTGGCTGAATAGTAAAACTGGCCCATCTGAATAAAAGAAAGTGTTGTGGTAACACTTGTAGTCAAAAGGTCGCACAGAATGAAACTAAATGTAAAGATACCATGAAACAGAACTGTATGAAACAAGTGCATGGGTAATGACAACATTTTCAGTTAGCAAATTAGATACATTTCAATTCTTTATTAAAACAAGAAGAAGGAAAATCACAGTCTGGGTACACAGGTTCAATTTAAATCAACTTACCTTCATTCAATTTTCAGTAATATGACATTTTTTTCTACATATAGTCGTTATGCTATAATCAACACGTTTGTCATTTCTTTTAATTGTAGTCTAATCTTTAGGATAAACTCTGACGACTGCAATTTGAGCTGATCATTTTTCAAGTTTCCTCAATACATTCTGTAGATGACTACTATCATTCATTTTATGCCTTTTTTTTTCCTTAAAGATTGACACCTGAGCTAACAACTGTTGCCAGTCTTCTTTTATTTTTTCTGCTTTTTCTCTCCAAATCCCCCCAGTACATAGTTGTATATTTTAGTTGTGGGTCCTTCTAGTTGTGGCATGTGGGACACAGCCTCAGCGTGGCTTGATGAGCAGTGCCATGTCCGCGCCCAGGATCTGAACCAGCAAAACCCTGGCTGCTGAAGCGGAGCACGTGAACCTAACCACTCAGCCACAGGGCCAGCCCCTATGCTAACTTGATCACATTCAAACCAAGAGGATGGTCTTTCCCTGACCTTGTTCCTAAATTCTCAGACTGCCTAGATGTATACTGACCACTACTCTAAACATTGAATCTTTTAAGTATTTAATTCATTTTGACAGACCTCTTTCTCAAATATACGACATTTCCTTGGCCTTGTAGAGCATGTTGAATACCACTAAATTTTGCTTAAATGAGTTTTCTTGATTGGCACTCGTAAATGTATAGTGTTACCAATTTCACTGAAGGCTTCAAATTGCTGGGCAATCCTCCTTCCTCAGTGTGGCTCAGTTTCCTCTCCACTCCTGTAAACAGTTGTTCTAAGCCTTTGCCAATTTCCTTAGGATCTCTATGGCATTCTTAGATTTTTCTGTATTTCAGAGGGAAAGCACAACTTTCCTCCCTTCAGTTCAAATTGTACTTACACTTTCATCCATCCTTCCCTTTTTTCTGCCTATCTCACAGGAAGAAGTGTTCTTATTACTTTTTAAGGTTAATCCTTCTTCCTAAGTTCTCTTAAAATTTGTGTGTGTGTAAAATAACACATATAGAATGTTTCATGCAAAATAAATGTACAGTTTAATGACTACAGCCATACCTCATTTTACTGAACTTTGCTTTATTGTACTCCACAGATATTGCATTTTTTACAAACTGAAGATTTGTGGCAACCCTCATTGAGCAAGTCTATCGGTGTCACTTTTCCAACAATATTTGCTTACTTCATGTCCCTGTGTCACATTTTCATAATTTTTTTTTTTGGTGAAGAAGATTGGCCCTGAGCTAACATCTGTCGCCAATCTTCCTCTTTTTGCTTGAGGAAGACTGTCCCTGAGCTAATACCCATGCCAATCTTCCTCTACTTTATATGTGGAACGCTGCCGCAGCATGGCTTGATGAGCGGTGTGAAGGTCCATGTCCAAGATCCAAACCCATGAACCCCGGGCTGCCAAAGTGAACTGCATGAACTTAACCACTACACCACCAGGTGGACCCCACATTTTGGTAATTCTTTCAATATTTCCAACTTTTTCATTATATTTGTTATGGTGATCTGTGATCAGTGATCTTTGATGTTACTATGGCAATTGTTTTGGGGTACCATGAACTGTGCCCATATAAGACAGCAAACTTAATAAATGTCATGTGTGTTCTGACTGCTCCACCAGCTGGCTGTTCTCCCATCTCTCTCCCTCTCCTCAGGCTTCCCTATTCCAAGACACAATAATATTGAAATTAGGCCAATTAATAACCCTACATGGCCCTAAGTGTTCAAAGGAACAGTTACACGTCTCTCACTTTAAATCAAAAGCTAGCAATGACTAAGCTTAGTGAGGGAGGCATGTCGAAAGCTGAGACAGGATGAAAGCTAGGCCTCTTGTGCCAAACACTTAGCCAAGCTGTGAATGCAACGGCAAAGTTCTTGAAGGAAATTAAAAGTGCTACTCCAGTAAACACATGAATGATAAGAAGGCGAAACAGCCTTATTGCCGATATGGAGAAAGTTTTAGTGGTCTGGATAGAAGATCAAATCAGCCACAGCATTCTCTTAAGCCAAAGTCTAATCCAAAGCAAGGCCCAAACTCTTCAATTCTATGACGGCTGAGAGAGGTAAGGAAGCTGCAGGAGAAAAGTTTGAAGTTAGCAGAGGTTGGTTCATGAGGTTTAAGGAAAGAAGCCATCTCCATAGCATAAAAGTGCAAGGTGAAGCAGCAAGTGCTGATGGAGAAGCTGCAGCAAGTTCTCCAGAAGATCTAGCTGAGATTATTAACGAAGGTGGCTACACTAAACAACGGATTTTAAATGTAGACAAATCAGCCTTATATTGGAAGAAGATGCCATCTAGACTTTCACAGCTAGAGAAGAGATGTCAATGCCTGACTTCAAAGGTTCAAAGGACAGGCTGACTCTCTTGTTAGGGACCAATGCAGCTGGTGACCTTAAGTTGAAGCCAATGCTCATTTATAATTCTGAAAATCCTAAGGCCCTTAAGAATTATGCTACATCTACTCTGCCTGTGCTCTATAAACGAAACAACAAAGTCTGGACGACAGCACATCTGTTTACAACATGATTGACTGAATATTTTAAGGCCACCGTTGAGACCTACTGTTCAGAAAAAAAGATTTCTTTCAAAATATTACTGCTCATTGACAATGCACCTGGTCACCCAAGAGCTCTGATGGAGATGTACTAGATTAACATTATTTTCAGGCCTGCCAACACAACATCCATTCTGCAGCCCCTGGATCAAGGAGTAATTTCAACTCCCAAGTGTTATTATTTAAGAAAAACATTTTGTAAGGCTATAGCTGCTAAAGATAATGATTCCTCTGATGGATCTGGGCAAAGTAAATTGAAAACCTTCTGGAAAGGATTCACCATTCTACATGTCATTAAGAAAATTCCTGATTCATGTGAAGAGGTTAAAATATCAACATTAACAGGAGTTTGGAAGAAGTTGATTCCAACCCTCATGGATGACTTTGAGGGGTTCAAGACTTCAGGGGAGGAAGTAACTGCAAATGTGGTAGAAATAGGAAGAGAACTAGAATTAGAAGTGGAGCCTGAAGATGTGACTGAATTGCTGCAATCTCGTGATAAAACTATAGCAGATGAGGAGTTGCTCCTTATGGATGAGCCAAGAAAGTGGTTTCTTGAGATGGAATCTACTCCTGGCGAAGATGCTGTGAAGACTGTTGAAATGACAACAAAGGATTTAGAATATTACATAAACTTAGTTGATAAAGCAGTGGCAGGGTTTGAGAGAAGTGACTCAAATTTTGAAAGAAGTTCTCCTGTGGGTAAAATGCTATCAAACAGCATCACGTGCTACAGGGAAATCGTTTGTAAAAGAAAGAGTCAATAGATGTGGCAAACTTCACTGTTATTTTAAGAAATTGCCAGAGCCACCGCAGCTTCAGCAACCACCACCCTGATCACCCTGACCTATGAAATGCAATCAGGCTTGTCATCACAGTACCTTTTTATTAGTGAGTAGTATTCCATGCAAACCACAGTTGTTTAACCGTTCTCCTACTGAAGGACACTTGATTGCTTCTAGTTTTGGACTGGTACAAATAAAGCTGCTGTTGACATTTGCGAATAGGTATTTGTGTGGATATAGTTTTCATTTCTCTCGGATATATGCCAGGAGTGTGACTACTGGGCTTTATGGTAAGCATGTATTTGTCTGTTAAAGAAACTGCCTATTTCATGGTATATCTTTTTCCATCCTTTTACTTTCAACCTACTTATATCATTAAATTTGAAGTGAATTTCCTGTAGAGAGCACATAGTTGGGTCATGGTTTTTATCCACTTTGTCAATATCTGTCTTTTAATTGGTGTATTTAGACCATTTACATTTAATGCAATTATTGCTATGTTAGGACTTAATTCTGCCATTTTTTCCTATTTGTCTTTTCTGTTTTTCCTGCACAGGACATCGTACATGTGTCTGCAGTTTGCAGCTAGAGAAAGTCATGACTGTGCAATCTGCACAGAGGGAAGACAAGAAAGTCTATGCTTGACCTCTCTAGTCTTTGTCTATACGTATCTTTTTCTTGCTTTCTCCATATTACAATAAACCTTAGCCGTGAGTATAACTTTACGTTGAGTCATATGAGTCCTCCCAGTGAATCACCAAACTAGCGTGTGGTCGTGGGACCAGAGACACTAGGCAATGCCAAACTGTTTTTCAAGGTCATTATCTTCCTTTGATCTTACCCCATCCTTGGCTCATCTCCTTTAGCACCTTATTCCATCAAAAAATGCTCCTACTCTCTTGGATCTTTAATCTCCTTGGTCAGTGGCTCCTTTTCCTCTGCCTAAAGATACACTCTTATTCCCTATTCTAAAAGAAAAAACCTCTCTCTCCACTTGCAAAAATAAATCCCTACCAAAAAATCCCTAACCTTGTTTTCCCTTTAAGTTAGCAGCACATTTTTCTCCTTATACTCATCATCAAATTTTTTAAGACTGTGCTCTACATTACACTCACTGGATCTGCTTTCCAATATGATTTTCTTCTCTATCTACTGTTTTCTCAAGCCCCATGCAATTCCATCTAGTTGCAGATTTGACATTCTCCTTCCTTGGCGTTTGATAAAACAGAAACAAGAAAAGAGTAATGAAAAGCACTTTTTTTCCTCTCTCCTGGTTCTTTCCTGTCCTTTCTGTTCATCTTCATTCTCTGTCTCTTTCACTGATTCTTCTTTCTATTTCCATCCCTTAAATACTAGTGTTCCACATGGCTCCACACCCCATTCACTGGTTAATCTCATTCTCTCCCATACTCTGCTGGTACTACTGCTGCTACCACTACTACTACTACCACCACCACCACCACCAGTAACTACTGTTGACTTCTAAAACCACATCTCTAATCCCGACCTCTCACATCAACAACTGAGCTCCAGGCTCACGTGATAAGTTCCCACATGTAATATTTCTGTCTGGGAGCCTCAAACACACTTCAGATTTAATACACCTAAAACTGAACTAAATTCCTGTCTCTTAATGTTTTCTTTCCCTCTGCCTCCCCAAACTCACTAACATCATTGTCATCCACCAAGTCATGTTAAACATTTTCAAGTTTCATATGTTTTAAAACCTTTTCCATGGACGGTGATTCACTTCATTTTTATAATGATTCACTTTGAAATGAGCTATTACTGATTAATTTAACGCTACATTCTCGCTCTTTCTTTTCTTTTTTTTTTTTTTGCTGAGGAAGATTCACCTGAACTAACATCTGTTGCCAATCTTCCTCTATTTTGTATATGAGCAGCCATCACAGCATGGCCACTGATAGATGAGTGCTGTAGGTCCACACCTGGGAACCAAACTGGGGCTGCCAAAGTGGAGCACGCTGAACTTAACCACTAGGCCGCCAGAGCTGGCCATCACTAGACTCTCTTTACCTGACATTTTCCCATCTTTTGGACAGGAAGAAATACTCTAAAAATAGGCATTTTTGGAATTTGAGGCTACTTTTTTTTTTTCTGAGGAAGTTTAGCCCTGAGCTAACTGCTGCCAATCCTCCTCTTTTTTCTGAGGAAGAATGGCCCTGAGCTAACATCCGTGCCCATCTTCCTTTACTTTATATGTGGGTCGCCTACCACAGCATGGCTTGCCAAGGGGGGCTATGTCCACACCTGGGATCCGAACTGGTGAACCCCGGGCCACCAAAGCAGAATGTGCGCAGTATTGTACTGTAGTATTCTCCAAGGTTTAGTTTGCAACTCTTTTTTTCCCCTCTCCAAAGCCCCCGTACATAGTTGTATATTCTAGTTGTAAGTCCTTCTAGTTCTTTTATGTGAGTCACCACCACAGCATGGCTACTGGCAGATGAGTCATGTGGTTCTGCGCCGAGGAACGGAACCCAGGCCACCAAAGCGGAGCATCCCAAACTTTAACAGGGCATCAGGGCTGGCTCTGCAACTCTCTACTCCTCTCACTTTACTTCCTTACTTGGGTAATCTCACTGTTTTCCAGGACTTCAATTACTATTGAAATGGTGATGATTTCTCCAAATCTATGTCTCTATATGTCAGAGAACATCTTTTTTGAGATTCAGAACCAAACTTCCAACTACCAGATGAATATCTCTACCTGAATGGTAATCTAAAGATTCACAGCCTTTAGAAATCTAAAACCTCCTCTCTGAATCATTATTTCATATTTCATTTATATGTATACATGTTTTATATATAAAACCCTGAAATGCTATCTCTGAATTCAGTTCACTCATAAAAGGGATGATATCACTATGCAATTCCTCTCACTAATAGCCATTTAATCTCTTGGACACTTTTCCTCAGTATTTAGTCAATGCAGCAATAGGATACTGATCTTCAATTTTGACTTTAGGTCTCACTCAGACTCACCTTGTAGCAGTCGTTAGCAATGAGCTGTAAGAGGCTAAAGGACTCGCCAGAGGTTTCCATCTTGAGATAAAGTTCCCAGGCTAATCTTGGTTTCTTATTTATGATATCTACAAAAAAACCCAAAGATTTATAAATATAAAGAAACATACTTCTGCATCTTGCTATTCTATGGATTTGGTTCTATGTTCTAAATATACAAACTAATGGTAAACAGCTCTTACATGGAAAGCTTGTAAAGTTGGCATTAAGCTGGTTCCCCATCAGAACTCTACCACACTTAAAATGTTTAAGTTAGGATTCACATAATTATGTCTTTTTAGATTAGGTTGATTTCCAGTAGCTACCACTTTGCACATCTGCTTAAAAGTCACCTATCATTCAATGATTCCTGTTCATATAGTTTCAGCCTCATTTAGAATACCTGATTGCTAAAATTATCCTGACTTCAAAAACTCAGTGAACATTTTAAATCCAAGTGAAAAAAAGGAGCAAGAAAAGATATTGAAGAGACAGACAGAGTCGATAGGCTATAATATACAAAAATTATTTTTTTGACATTTTACCACTTTTCAGGCCTGCAACCATAGTGAAAAGGTAAAATTAGCATAACAATATCATTTAACAAAAAACACTGTAAACCGAGAATATGGAAATTTTAACAGAGCTAAAGGAAGAACCCAGCATCTTTCACGTCTGTTCATGCTAGGTCCATGTTGTGTGGCAGAACTAATTACAGGGTAAACTCATATAACACACATAACATGGCCACCCTTACTGACGCTTAATTTCAGCGTTTACTCATTCTACAAAACAAAATTAGAAAACAGTTGGGGCCGGCCCCGTGGCCGAGTGGTTGAGTTTGGGTGCTCTGCTTCAGTGGCACAGGGGTTTCGCCAGTTCGGATCCTGGGCATGGACATGGCACTGCTCGACGGGCCATACTGAGGCGGCATCCCACATGCCACAACTAGAAGGACCCACAACTAAAAATACACAACTATGTACCAGGGGGCTTTGGGAGAAAAATAAAATCTTTAAAAAAAGAAAAGAAAACACTCAATGTAATTTCTATCCAGAAGATTACGCAACAGAGAAGAAAAAGAGGATTCCTTTATAACATTTAAAAGAAGACTCACAGCACCGAGCTAACCAACTGAGGTAAATGTAGTCATTTTTCATCTTCTCACTTTGGATTAAAAGGAAAACCTGCAAGAAGAGGAAAGAAAGGGAATAAACATGAAGATACTTTTGCAGTAAAAATATCCGTATCAGCTTGCCTTAGATTAATGATTAACGTAGCCTTATAGATGACCAAATTCTATATAGACTGCTAAGAAAAGTAAAGGACAAAATTGTGACTTTAACATACTTCTCTCAGTTATTGATATCACAAGCTGACAAAAGGTTGGTAAGGATACAGAAGATTTGAACAGAATAATTAACAACTGTACAATATATATTCTCTTCAAGAACTTATGACCATGCTACCAGGCAATAAAGCAAGTCTCAAATTCCCAAGGACTGGTGTTACACCAACCACCTTCCATGGCCACAATACAATCAAGTTAGAAATCAAAATAAACTAACATTGAAAGGATAACACACATATTTGAAAATCATGAAACACATTTCAAAATAACCCACAGTCAAAGAATAAATCATAATGGAAACTGGAAAATACTTGGAACTTGAATAATTTGTTGAATAATAACAAAATTGAATTGGATGATTCAATTGAATTATTTTGAATAATTCAGACAAATCAATCTATGAGTTAGAAGTCAAGACAGTGGTTAGCCTTGGGGGAAAGGGACTGACTCAAGAAGGAGATGGGGGCGTTTCTAGGGTTCTAATAATATTCTGTTTCATGAGCTGGGTACTGATTATTTGGGTATGTTCACTTAAAAAATTCATCAAGCTGTACTTTTTGATTTGTACACCTTGTCCATGTACTTTATGCTTTTATAAAATTTACCAAAAAGGGAAAACATTAATATGGTTATCAAATATATATGTCTATTCACATTGTACTTTTTAATGTAACCTAAGAAAGGAACTTTTAATAATCTTTTACCCTTGAACATTTTATTTTAGTGAGATAATGTTTTTAGATAGACTCATTCAAATGCCTTCACAAGCAGGTACCCACCTCTTCACCCTCACTAGTATTGCCTGTTGCAGCTTTGGCTTGGGCATAATTAAAGTTAAAGATGTCATCATTATAGAAGTAACTCTGAAAAACATCCCAAGAACAAGTCTCATTAAGCATTAACATATAAAATATAAAAACATCAGTTATATCAAACACAAAAATAATTTTAAGGAATTAGCTGATGCCACTAATACTACCATAATAAAAGGGCCATCTGTAAGAGCATCTTATCTCTGACACATTATCTATAGTATTTTGTATACAAAGTTATCTACAAAATTCTCTACTGACCTTGAACGAGTTGAGGTAAATCAAGACATCATCAAATTGCTTCAGCAGGAAGAAACAGGAAGCCATGCACTGCCTCCCTGGTATTGTATCTGAAATGGAATGGGAAAAGAAACCAGGTGTATTCAAGAAACTAAAAGTTCTCTTTAGCTGAAATTTGAGTTATTTTATAATTTAGAGTTAGGAATGTGTTCCAAGGCATCTTTCCAGATTCTTAAAACTATAGATTTTGTTCAGTGGACAAAACCTCAGCATAACAGAGGGCACAGTACTTGAGAATGACCAATAATATCGGGGTTAACTCCCAGAGTCCAAAATGAACACGTGCCCCACAGGCTACAGATTCCCCAGACCATTTTCCAGGGCTTTGATTCTCTCAACCAACTTCAACACCTGCACACTCAACAAACATGGCTTAGTTTCCATCATCATTTGTCTCAGACAACCTAGCACTTCCAATCTCAAATGTAGAAATAATTTGCCATAGAATCATCTGATCCTGATCCTGACCAACTTTTTGTCTGATATCAGATTACTATTCTTTCTTTTTTTTTGAGGAAGATTAGCCCTGAGCTAACATCCGTGCCTATCTTCCTCTACTTTATATGTGGGACGCCTGCCACAGCATGGCTTGAGAAGTGGTGCCATGTCTGCACCAGGGATCTGAACTGGTGACCCCTGGACCACTGAAGCAGAAGCTGCGAACTTAACTGCTGTACAACCAGGCTGGCCCCTCAGATTCCTAGTTAAGGTAGCAGAGGATTAGTATAACTCCTCACGTTTGTCACTGGCACTCCCCATCCTCCTCACCCTGTTCAATTTTTTCTCACAGTCAGATATACTATATAATCTATTTGTGAATTATGGTTATAGTCTGTCCTACTAGAGTCTATGCTGCACGTGGGAGGTTTGTTTTGTTTACTCCTGTATCCCCAACCCCTCAATAAATATTTGTTGTACGGATGAATGAAATGGGGAAAGGAAATATTATTCAGGAAATGGTTTTGGTGAAACATTTGAAAGAAAATGAATATCCAGGGGTGATAAAAATATTTAACAACTAGTTCAGCATGAACACTGTTCATCAGAATAGACTGCTGACCACAGACAACTGGTAGAAACAGCCATAGTGGTTCATACTCGCCAAGCAGCAGCCCTTTTCATAGCCCTTTCTCAAATCTTACACTGAATCTTGACTGCTGAAATCAATACTTTAATAATAAAAATGAATCCACAAAACTACTGATGGGATAGATGAATATTACATAACTACGGAGGTAAGAAAGCACTTTGTAAGCTTGATACCCATGTAAGATCATTATAGAAAAGATAAACATAATTAAACAAGATTTAAATATTTTTATATGGAAAAAATACTGTAGGCAAAGTTAAAGGCAAATGACACACTGAAAAAAATATCTACAACATGAAAAAAGTTTAATACATAAAGAGCTCTTAAAAAATCAATACAAATTAAGATTTCAAATAAAAAACAGAATCAAATTTTTAAATCTCTCATGAACTAAAGAACACACGTATTCTCCTCTATTTATAGACTCTCTCATCCCACTTTAGCTGAGACGTTGATTCTCTCCTGTGTCTGACTTCCTGCTTCATAACGGGAAGCTTAACAGACGTATCCCTGGAGAGACCTAAACTTCCCCAGTCAATACACGACCCGCTCCAACGAGGAATTGCGCTCCTAAGTGCAGACTGCAGACGCACCACATTCACTAGCTGATCCTCCCACCAACTGGAAGAACTGCTGGGCAATTTTCACGTGGTCCCTCTGAAAACAAAACAGAGTCGACACGGAAGAATAAGCTGAAAATATTTACTTGTATTACACTTTATGGTTTTAACATATTTGTCAGGATTTAACATATACTCTTGTTCTAAATTCTTCCCTAAACAATACTAGTTCTTATTAGCATAAGCAGCTGGAAAATGATAACTTGAAAATGAGATAAAACCTATTCAGGGTTAGATAGAAAAGAAGAAAAAAAATCCAATCCCCATATTCTACCCTAAAAGTATCTTCATTAAATGAACTCATTCATTTACTCATTCATTCATATAACAAATATTTATTGCTCTTCTATCATATATCAGACCTTCTGGGAGGAGCTATGGTTATAACAAAGAGTATTTATTAAATAAACTCATTCATTTATTCAATAACTATTTACTGCCTATCTACTATATGAGGCACTGTGGAGTGAGCTAGACATAAAAAGATTTATTTATATCCCACTTTGTTTCAAAAAGAACTTAATATGCCATATTAAGATGAATAAGAGCTTAATATTAGATAGTCTTTTGGTGTTTATAAAAAGCTTCCCCAGAGAAACAATTATCCCCATTTTACAGATGCCAAAATTATAGCTTGGAGGTAGTTAAAAAAAACTCACTGAAAATAAGAATGAAGCTGTGCAATGATTTGTTGTTGTTGTTATTAGATATAAACACTGTTTAAAAATTGGGCTTTGGGGCCAGCCCTGTGGCCAAGTGGTTGGGTTCGCACACGTGGCTTCAGCAGCCCAGGGTTTCTCCTGTTTGGATCCTGGGCGCAGACATGGCACCACTCATCAAGCCATGCTGAAGTGGCGTCTCACATAGCACAACCATAGGTACTCACAACTAGAATATACAACTATGTACTGGGGGGCTTTGGGAAGAAGAAGAAGAAAGAAAAAAATGAAAATTGGCAACAGATGTCAGCTCAGGTGCCAATCTTTAAAAATAAAAAAAAATTGGGCTTTTTTAACCCTAAATAATCCACCAGAAAACTATTAGAAATAATCAACAACTACAGCAAAGTTGCAGGGTACAAAATGAACTTAGAAAAATCAATTGCATTTCTATACACTAATAATGAACTAGCAGAAAGAGAACTCAAGAATACAATCCCATTTATAATCGCAACAAAAAGAATAAAATATCTAGGAAGAAACTTAACCAAGGAGGTGAAAGACCTATACAATAAAAACTATAAGACATTATTGAAAGAAATCGAAGATGACATAAAGAAATAGATATTCCATGGTCATGGATTGGAAGAATAAATATAACTAAAATGTCTACATTACCTAAAGCAATCTACAGATTCAGTACAATCCCAATCAGAATCCCAGTGACATCCTTCATGGAAACAGAACAAAGAATGCTAAAATTTATATGGAACAACAAAAGACCTGGAATAGCTAAAGCAATCCTGAGAAGAACGAACAAAGCTGGAGGCATAACAATCCCTGACTTCAAAATATACTACAAAGCTATAGTAATCAAAACAGCATGGTACTAGTACAAAAGCAGACACATGGATCAATGGAACAGAACTGAAAGCCCAGAAATAAAACCACACATCTACAGACAGCTAATTTTTGACAAAGGAGGTGAGAACATACAACAGAGAAAGGAAAGTCTCTTCACAAATGGTGCTGGGAAAACTGGACAGCCACATGCAAAAGAATGAAAGTAGACCATTATGTTACACCATACACAAAAATTAACTCAAAATGGATCAAAGTCTTGAATGTAAGACCTGAAACCATAAAACTGCTAGAAGAAAATATAGGCAGTATGCTCTTTGACACAGGTCTTAGCAGCCTCATTTCGAATGCCATATCTACTCAGGCATATGGAACAAAAGAAAAATTAACAAATGGGACTACAACAGACTAAAGAGCTTCTACGAGGCAAAGGGAACCATGAACAAAATGAAAAGACAACTCACCAACTGGGAGAAAATATTTGCAAATCATATATCTGACAAGGGGTTAATTTTTAAAATATATAAAGAACCCATATAACTCAACAACAAAAAACCACACAACCGGATCAAAAAATGGGCAAAAGATATGAACAGACACTTTTCCAAAGAAGATATATAGATGGCCAACAGGCACATGAAAAGATGTTCAACATCAGTATTAGGGAAACACAAATCAAAAATACGAGATATCACCTCATACCTGTCAGAATGGCTATCATTACTAAGACAAAACACCACAAATGTTGGAGAGGATGTGGATAAAAGGGAACCCTCAAACATTGCTGGTGGGAATGCAAACTGGTGCAGCCACTACAGAAAAGAGTATGGAGATTTCTCCAAAAGTTAAAAATAGAAAAACTATACGATCTAGCTATCCCACTACCAGGTATTTATCCAAAGAACTTGAACTAATGATCCAAAGAGATTTATGCAGCCCTATGTTCCTTGCAGCCTTCTTCACAATAGCCAAGACGTGGAAGCAACCCAAGTGCCCATCAACTGATGAATGGATAAAGAAGATGTGGAATATATATATACAATGGAATACTACTCCACCATAAAAAAAGACAAAATCGTCCCATTTGCAACAACAGGAATGGACCCTTAGGGTACGATGTTAAGTGAAATAAGCCAGATAGAGAAAGACAAACATGATTTCACTCATATGTGAAAGACAAACAAACACATGGATAAAAAGAACAGATTAGTGGTTACCAGAGGGGAAGGGGATTGTGGGTGGGCAAAAGGCGTAAAGGAGCACATATATACGGTGACCGATAATCAGGCTATTGGTGGTGAGTACGAGGCAGTCGATACAGAAACAGATAAATAATAATGTACATCTGAAATTAGACAATGTTATAAACCATTATGACCTCAATAAAATAATTTTTAAAAATTTGGGCTTTTTTAAAGCAAAGCAGCAATTCTCAGGGCTAAAGTTTTCTGTTTTTTTGTCTTTAAATAATACAGAACTCTTTCTACAGTGGAATCCGAATTGGTGACATGGAGAAAGGAAACGCAGAAGAGCCTATTTGTAAGCTTATTTCTGGTTGAACTCTGACATTTCTTTTGATCTTTTCCGCACGCTACAACTTGGCAAACTATAGATTACCAGCAATTTCATACTCACCGAACCCATTTCCTGGCCTAGGGCTGCATTGACCACTCCTTTGAGGATATACTCCTGGAAACATGGAATAACACTAATTAATTTAAAAGGAATATGGAGCTATGAGAAATCTTTCAAATTAATTATTTGCCTCCACTCAATAGTTTATTATCAAACGCTACCCAGAGCCGCTTTTCTCTGTCCTACCTCTGTCTTGAATGAAAGAATTAGAAGACTTCCATTTGGTTTCCAGGAAAGTGTCCAAGTAACAGAATTCATCATATTTGTAAATTCTCAATCTTAAGCAGAAAAACTCAGTGGAAACTTCCAGGAGTTAAGCTTTATTTTAATTCAATGGAAAAACTTAACAATAAAATGTTTTTGTAATAATTTTTATCACCTGTCAGCCACTGCCATTCTCTGTGACCACACCATATATATTATTTTCCCTTTCCAACGATATAATAACCTTCCTTTGCTAGTGATCCTTTTCCTCCTCTGATTTGCATTTGAAAGGTATTCTCTCTTTTGGAGTCCTGGGGCCTCACCTGTATCTCTTTCAGACTTGGTTCTATTCTTTAATAGATACCCTCCTTAGCAGCTTTATCAGTTTTTATGTGGGTGCTATTTTTATTTGAGGGCTCATAAAAGGAACACTACAAAAGATGCTGAAGCTTTTAACACACTTGTGAAATATACCTGTTTAGATTTCATGAGGTCTGGAGACATTTCTCAGCCAGTCTTTGATTCAGTAAGTGGAATGCCTACTGTGTGCTTACTGTACACAGCGTTGGAGATACACTATAGACTGTTCCCTGACTGCAAGGAGCTAACGATCTAGCCAGGGAGAAAGACAAGTTGCAGACAAATACACCAGTGAGATAAGTTTCAACAGAATTCTAGATTACAGTATTTTCAAACCTCAACCCTTTTGAGGAAATGATCACACATAAGGGAGTTTAAAACAGGAAAAAGTCTAGAATATTCATTCTCATATCCAAAGTCTCACATAATATTCCTAGATCAATACGTATGGTCTTTCGTGAGATTCTACAAGCAGGAATCTTATCTAACGTGCCTTCCAGCCACCTTTCTGAAATTGTGCTTTCAACAGAACTTGGTTAGTAAAAATGTGACACATTCTCAATTACCTGAGGAGTAGTAGGTTCCAGATCTTTAATTAAGTTATAAGCTTCTTGTACATCATCTGAAATATAAGAAATAAGTAACTATACTAGTCTGTATTCCAGTAAACTCTTCTAAAACAGTCCCCCAAAAGATAAGATCCTTCAGTACTCAAACATTCATGGGAACTATAATTTCTTTTATCTGTCCTCTAACTCTCCATCAAGTTCAATGCCGAGTAGTTATCCTAAAGATAAACAAATATCTGTAAGAAGCCCATATGAAGCCATGAAGCACCTAAAAAAATGTTCAAGCTAAGACTATGGACTAAGTATTATATACTAATGACATTATAATTATATAAGAAAAAAAATTTTTTTAAAGAGATATATATTAATTATGTAGGAGTGAAATGACAAAGTCTGGAATTTGCTTTAAAACATCTCAGCAACATGGGGCTGGCCCGGTAGCACAGCAGTTAAGTTTGCATGTTCCACTTCAGCAGCCCGGAGTTAACCAGTTTGGATCCCAGGTGTGGACACGGCACCACTTGGCAAGCCATGCTGTGGCAGGCATCCCACATGTAAAGTGGAGGAAGATGGGCACGGATGTTAGCTTAGAGCCAGTCTTCCTCAGCAAAAAGAGGAGAATTGTCAGCAGATGTTAGCTCAGGGCTGATCTTCCACAAAAAAAAAAATTTCAGCAACAAAAAGGGAGAGGGAGGATAGATGAAAAAAGACTGGCAATATCCTGCAGACTGCTGAATCTGGGATGAATTTTTGGGTGTTCATACTATTTACTTCTGTTTATGTTTGAAAATTTGTATAATAAAAATTAATTTATAAAATATGTTTCTTTAATTCTTGTCCAAAAGCATATTTCTTTGTGCTTGTATATCAAATAGAGGGAACTGTTTGCAAGTTCGTGTTCTTATTTTAATAAACACATTTTCCTCGATGAGGAATATGTTGTCTGGTTAGTTTAAAGGCCCACACTGTTAGTCTGAGGTCCGTGACAGAGTGCCACCACCAATGTGTGGTAGCTACTGCACTGTACTCATAACTCTTAGATAAAAGACTGCTTCAGGCATGTGTCTAACGATTTTAACCTTACTTAGCGGCAACAAATATCACATTCTCTTTGAATCATAATATTTCTCATAAGAAGCCAAAGGTACAAAGAAACAGAAAAGCAGACAATTAGAGCAAATAAAATACAGTTAATGATACAGAAAAAAGACAAGAAAATGTGGATGTACATTATACACAGGGGGACGCTAGAAAAAGAAAGACCTACAAGGGAGGGGAAGGAAAAACAATGGAACAACTGAAATAAAAATGGGTAGAGAACAAGAAAGAAAAACAGGAGGAAAAAAGAAAAACAGAATGAGGGAGAAGGTTGGAAGCAACAGAAAAGGAAAGAGAGGATAAAGAGAAAAGGCAAAAGAAATAAGCACCAATAAATTTGTTCCATCCTATGAAGCTGTTGCAAATATATTTTTGGAAGTACTATGGATTTTAAAAGTTAATAAAATAGTTCAATTAGAGAATAATTGTTCTAAAAATTTCTCGTTACAAGCAAGACCAAGACAGTTTTTCTTACCTTGACGAAGGTAGTAAATCACCAAGTTCAGCCTAGCTTCAGGAATGACATCAACCAGTGGGGGCAAAACCTGCAAAGCCCCTTCACCTCCTCGGAAAACAACCTAGAGATGGAGAAACCCTGTCATCATGGCAACAAGTATGAATATATTCACTGCTGGAAATGTTTAAGGAGCTGCCACTTACAACTAGGCACTCAGTTACTCTTTAAAAGGATGGATAGGGGCCGGCCCCATGGCCAAGTGGTTAAGTTCGTGTGCTCCGCTTTGGCGGCCCAGGGTTTTGCCAGTTCGGATCCTGGGTGCGGACATGGCACCGCTCATCAGGCCATGCTGAGGCGGCGTCCCACATGCCACAACAAGAAGGACCTACAACTAAAATATACAACTATGTACTGGGGGGCTTTGGGGAAAAAAAGGAAAAATAAAATCTTTAAAAGGATGGATATTTTTGAAGCTCTCTCTATATACATGACCTTAACCTCACAGAAAGAAAGCCATTATCTAAGCTATAAGAAGTATAAGAAACAGAATAAAGGCATAGCCCTATTGCATACATTTCCCTTTCTCTTCATAAGAACTGCAGAAAACTCTTAAAGTACTCAGTAATTAATGAAACTTTTTCTAGACATATTCTACATCAAAGCTCCATGAAGGAATTTATATAACCTATCTAAGCCTGTTTCCTCATCTCTAAATGGTATTAGTAACATCTACCTTTCAGGATTATTATGAAGATTAAATGAGTTAAAGTGGGCTAAATGTGTGGCATGTGGTAGGTAGTATTAACTAATTCAGCAATATTCACTAGCACCTACCATATGCCTGGTACCATAATAAGCACTGGGGTTAAAGCAAGACCGAGTTACTCCCCTGTCACTATAGAGGCTACATTCAAGTGGGGGGAGACATTCAATGGGCGAACATATAAGTATGTTGTCATATGATGATAAATGCCATACAGCCCAGCTAAAACAAAAACACCAACCACAAAAGGACAGTTTTGCACACTGCTGAGTACCCAGAACCTAGCACAGTGTCTGGCACACAGCAAGTTGTTTCATGAAGAAATATACAGAAATCAAGGCTACCAGGCATACACTACCTAATCTCTTCTTTCTACCTCAAAATAGCCATTTGGTCATCTTGTTTGGTTTCTCCTTGTCTGAGATGTTCCCTTCTTTTACCAAGATTAAATCCTTCACCTGTCTTCTTAATCTCATGACTTCTAACTCCATCTGGATCTTGTTTCTCCATTAATTAATCATTCTATCTTCATTAGTCCTGGTCCTACTTCTCAACTTTAAACATACACAAGGGTTTTTGCTCTCTTGAGAATCTTCCACTTGGTGCCACTGTTCCCTCTGGACAGGCCCTTTTTTCTTCTTTCTTTCATTGCCGCACTTGAAAAGTACATGGCTTACTGCTTCAGCTTTCTTCTCATCCTCTCGCTCCTTAACCTCCCAGAAAACTGACTTCTGCTCTCACCACACTGGTAAACTTACTCTCACAAGTCACAAATTAACCCCTTTAACAAAATTCTTTTCTGTCCTCTTGCTCCATGATGTGTCTGTAGTTTTGACACTGATGGCCATAGCATGACAACAACAGCCCTGTTTACGAAATGCTTACTACATGCTATATACTGTGCAATGTACATTATACACATTACTTCATCTAATCCTCAAGAGAAAATAAGGCAGGTACTATAATTTCTCCTGTTCTACATATGAGAACACTGAGACTCAGCAATGTTAAGTGACTTATCCAAAGTCACAAAGCTAGTACACAGTGTAGCTTCACTTTGACCTCAAGTCTGACTGCAAAAGTCAATGCTCATAACCCTTTACATTGCTCAATATTTTTCAAGTTTTGTTTTACACTACATAAATAATACGTGTTCACTGGAAAAAAAACTTATAGTGTCACAAAAGGGAAAAGGAAAATTTCCATATTCTCACTTCTTTCTTTAATCCCACTGTCCAAATACTGCTATTTACTAGCTGATATACTCCTTCCAGTCATATATACATATAGTGTTTCTTTACTCTGGCCGTATATTATATCTACGTGGGAAGCTTTTAAGAAAAATACTGATAGCCGAGCCCTCGCCCAACCATTAAATAAGAATCTCTGGGGGGTGGAGTCCATATATCATTACTGTAAAAAACCTCGCAGGTGATTAAAATGTGCAGTTGTAAATGACATTCCACTATCTAGGTGCTCTTTCTTGCCCGCTCTTTCTTGTCTTATTTGCTTATTCTCCTTCTTCCAGCCCCTTAAATACAGATGCTCTCTTGGAACCATATTTTTCTGTTTTTACCTGTTCTTCCACATTTAGTTGTCAGGACTTCAGCAATCACTTCTCTTATGAATACTCCTAAGCCTATTCTCCAGTCTTGATCTCTCTCCAAGTTTAATTTCCAGACTAACACACCATTCCCCACAAAAATTAACCTGGCTTTAATTCATAAACTGGATTAGAAGTGAAAAGAGGCAGAAGCTCATAATAGAAACTATCCAAAGAAAACTATACCTGTGCTGGAAACCTGAATTAGAGAAGGAATGGAATAAATATAAGACATTGCCAAGAAAGAATTAATAGGATTAAAGTGACCAAATAGAGATCAGAGATAAAGGAGAGGAGAGAGTCTAAGACAGCTATGGTTTTTAGCATGTGTACTAGGAGAATTGGTGGTAAAGAAAGAAATAGAGAAATCAGAAGGAAAAGGTGTAGTTAATATTGCCATTTTTAGATGAGGAATCTGAAACTCAGAAATATTGAATAATTTGCCCAATGTCCCCAAGTGTCTGAGTTGAAAACAGCTACTCTGCATCCACTATATTGCTTGATCAACAGAATCAAGCAATCTGAATCTGGATATTTTTTAGCAACGGCCATGATAATCCAGCCCTAAACCTAATCACCCCCTTACTTTTTCACTAAGTAAAACTTTACTTTTCACTATGCCCCAGTGTAAACTTTCTGTCCTAGTAAGCTCAGTCTGCTCACAACCTGTCACATATGTCACCCTCATTCTAACTCCATGCCCTTGCCTTGAATGAACCCTCTAAATCTCAGCCCTATTCCAAAGACAAGCTCCAGTTTTACTTTTACCAGAAAATCCTTCCCATTTGTTCTAACCCACAAGGATATGTTCCTTTGGCTTTGCCAACAAAATGAATGCTTGGATCTACACTACCTTGTACCTCTTTCTAAATACCCTCCCAAAAAGGATTTCCTTGAGGAAAGGATCTGATATGGTAAACTCCTTTTCTCTCCTCCACAACAAGGAGGAGTTCACTTGAGTAGAGATATCTCCCTTCATTCATCTTTCTAACTGCTGTGATGTACCAAAGGAGGGTAGGACTCAAGTTAGTCAAGATGGAAAGTTATTATTCACCAGATTGTGCTTGATGAGTTCTTTAGCAAACTCAAAGGAAGAAGAAGCGTTGTCCATCAAGCTTTTGAGTTCTGCCTGAAATTGAAAAACGAAAGGCTTATGAAGATAACAAGTGAAAGTTCTTACACCACATATTTGCACAGTGTTTTATAGTTTACAAAGAATTTATCATACTATTTCATCTGTTCTTCAGGACTAAGAAATAGTCAATATAATTATTATTATCCTCATTTTACAGATGAGAACATTGAGGCTTATAAACATTAAGTGACTTGAACCTTACACTAAGCAAGTTTGAAACTGGTGAACCCAAGTCTGAAGACTACTAGAGTCAGTCTTTTCTTTCAGGAATAAAAGTGATAAGGGAGCTAAACTTTTAACAACTGAGGTTGATTCTTCAGTCTGACCATTGCATCTATATCCTGAATTCTCATAGTACTTCCTTCCTGCCGCATTGGACTTTATTTACATAACTCAATTAAAACACCTTCTCCCTTCTGTTTTATTATTTATTAGACCTACCAGATCTCTTCTGTATTCTCCTGCCCCCTTAATTCATTTAGAACAAATGGTTACCCATTTCCAGTGTCTTCACTAATACCCTAGACTCACCTACTTCCTCTTTCTGCTATTCCTACCTTGCCCATCTATAATTTTGAGTAATCCTCCTCTCCTCCTTTTTCTACTTCTATCAGTGGTTAGCTAAGCTTTTCTGGATACATAATTAAATTCTTGACTGTTCTCACTAACTACTACAAACTTGTTCTACCTGATCTCATAAATGCACGTCTGCTCAGCAATCCTTTCATTAATCTCTGCTCTTGTCCACAGCAGCAGTTCCAAAGTGCTGGGTAATATCAGGTTAGAACAGCAGTTTTCAAGCTTTTTGATCTCAAGATCACTTTTATAAGCTTAAAGATAATTAAGGATCCCAAAGAGCTTTTGTTTATGTAGGTGATAGCCATCAATATTTATTAAAAATTAAAACAGAAATTTTTAAGTATTCAATTAATCAAAAATAAACCCACTACACATTAACACAAATATTTTTCATTTTAAAAAACTGTATTTACCAAAACAAAAATTTAGTGAGAAGAGTTTTACATTTTTGCAAATCTCCTTAATGTCTGGCTTAAAAGAGGACAGCTAGATTAGCATACCTGTAACTGCATTTGACCTATTTTGAAACAATTTTGTCTCTGGAAAACTTCACTACACACTTGAGCAAATAACAGTGAAAACACAAAATCTTTCAGTATTATGAGGATCGTTTCAGTCTCAGGCAGGGCTAGCTGGGACTAAGAGTGACGCAAGTGAGATGCCTAGGGACAGAATTTAAAGCAGCACTCGCCGCACAAGAAAAACCTCTTCAACATCATTAGCCACCAGGGAAACGCAACTCAAAACCACAATGAGATTCCACTTCATGTCCACTGAGATGGCTAGAATAAAAATGTCGGATAATAACAACAGTTGGCAAGGACGCAGAGAAGCTAAAACTCCTATACGCTGCTGGTGGTAATGTAAACTGGTGCAGCTACTTTGGAAAATGGTTTGGCAGTTCTCAATTAAACATAAAGCTACCACATGACTCAGCAATTCTACTCCTAGTTTTATACCCAAGAGAAATGAAAACATGTCCAAAACATGTGCAAAAACATGTACACAAATGTTTATAGCAGCATTATTCGTAATAGGCAGAAGGTAAAAACAACCAATGTCCATCAGGTGATGAATGAAAAATAAAATGTGGTATATATAGATAAAATAGAATATTATTTGGTCGTGAAAATGAATGAAGTACTAATACTTGCTACAACATATAAACATTATAAACATTATGCTAAGAAAAAGAAGTCAGTCATAAATGATCACATATTATATGATTCCTTTTAGATGAAATATCCAGAATAGGAAAATCTAGAGAGAAAGTAGATTAGTAGTTGCTTGGGGCTGGGGGAATAACAGTTAATAGCTAAGGAGTATGGGGTTTCTTTTTGAGGTAACGGAAATGTTCTAAAATTGACTGTGGTGATGATTGCATATACCTGTGAATATACTAAAAACGATTAAATTGCATATTTTAAAAGGGTGCATTGTGTGGTATGCTAGTTATATCTCAATAAACCTGTTAAAAAATAAAACCATAGGGGCCGGCCTGGTGGGGCAGCAGTTAAGTGCTCACATTCCGCTTCAGTGGCCTGGGTTTCACCGGTTCAGATCCCGGGTACAGACATGGCACCGCTTGGCAAGCCATGCTGTGGTAGGCGTCCCACCTATTAAGTACAGGAAGATGGGCACAGATGTCAGATCAGGGCCAGTCTTCCTCAGCAAAAAGAGCAGGATTGGCAGCATATGTTAGCTCAGGGCTAATCTTCCTCAAAAAAACCCACCAAAAATCTATAAACAGAAGATGAAAGTCATCTTATCTATGTTAGAGTGAAAATGACCTTCCTAAAAGCATGACACCAATGATAGAAACCATGTAAGAAATATTCTGCATGAAATGTATCCTCTTACATTCAAATTTTCTGTGTCCTTATATTTAAAACGTATTAGAGTTTTGTCTTTTCAATCTAATTTACCAATTTTTGTCTTTTAATTGAGAAGTTAGATCTTTCAAAAATAATATAATTACAGATAATTTGCATTTGAAAAAGGCAAAATAAGGCTTTTAGAAGTTAATATCAGAGAATATGATCTTAGGCTAGGAAGTCATTTCTTAAACAATGGTCTTAAAAAAGATACAGAAAGCACTAAAACAAAGAAAAAAATTAATCTGACTGTTTCCGCCTATAAAACTTTTGATAACTGCTAATGTTTACGGAGAGTTTACTATGTGCACCAGCTTAGGACTTTACATTACAGCACATCACTTAATCTGCACAGCAACCTACAATAAGCCAGTACTATCACTTTCCCTATTTTGCAGATGATGTTTAAGGAGGTTAAGTAGTCCACTGAAAGCCACACAGCTAGTAAGCTAGGATTGGAATTTGGGTCTATCTGATTTCAAAAAACCTGTTCTTAATCACTATAGGCCTTCCCAGTTTGGGGGAAAAAGTTCTTTTAATACTTTATTCTCTGAAACCAGCGTTCTCCTTTGCACCAGAATCTTATATTCACTGCTTCTATTTCTTCATTATCTACATCCCATCCCTCTGCCATATCTTTTTTGAAAATTCCCAGTCCAAGTGATTACTCACTCATTCCTTATCTCCTTGCCATCTAGCTTCAATCCCCAATAATGATATCCTAATCAGAGTAGGAAATCCTAGTTATGAAACCCAATGGCTTTTTCTCAGTCTTCGTCTTTATTGACCTCTTTTGAACGTCTTCTTCTTTAAATGTGATTCTCCCTTAATTGTTAGTCACATTTCAAAATTCTCATTCAGCCAATACTTAGTTGTCATCAACTTTGTGTGTGCATTCTGTCAGGTGCTGGAATACAAATGTCAAAAGACACAGACTTAACCCTCAATAAGCTTGTCTAGATTAAAGATAGTTAGGCAACTACCAAATAGTAAGCATGACTATATATATAATATATAAATTACATATAAGAAGCATGATATATATTTGATATATAAGCATTATATATATATCATGCTTATTTGGTTATACATACATGAAATCATGCTTATTATTTGGAAGTTGTATTACATATATATAAAAAGAGCAAAGAGGAAAGTATACCCAAATTTACAGTAATTTTTAGTGGTTAAGTTTATAAGCTTTAGAGTCAGATAGACAAGAGTTTGAGACCTGAATTTGTCACTTGTTAGTTGTATAACCTTGTGTAAGTTATTCAAAGTACTTTAAGAATTAAGTGAATCATTACAGATTATTTCATGCTCACTATATATTTTTTTTCCTTCTTCTTTTCTCCAAAGCCTCCCAGTACATAGCTACACAATCTAGCTGTAGATCCTTCCAGTTGTGCTATGTGGGACGCCGCCTCAGCATGGCCTGATGAGTGGTTCTGGGTCTGTGCCCAGGATCTAACGCAGCAAAACCCTGGGCCACTGAGCAGAGTGCACAAACTTAACCACTCGGCCATGGGGCCGGCTCCTCATGCTCACTATAGAAGAGGAGAACGCTATTGGTGTTCGTGAGTGAGAATGAATCATATAATATAGAGTCCATTACACAAATTACTAGAGGAATGCTTGATTTTAAATGGTTTAATAAAATTATCATAAGTAAACACAAACTATACTATTGTTATCCCACTTCTTAGCATTTTTTAGTATCTGACATAGTCATTTACTGCTGGAGTACATTATAAAATCAATATGTAAACTGCATGGACACAATTTCAAATGAAAAAGCATGCCTTTTGGAGATGGAAAGTTGGTTTGCTGTCCTGACTCAGCACCAGACCTACAGAACACTGGTTAACCAGGCCACCCACACCATTCTGTGAAAAAACACGTGCAGACAAAGTGTTAGCATTTAATAGGCTGCACCTTACCCCAAAATTGGCGGAGTCCCCAAGACTGACTCAAAGTAGAAAGGCAAGAATATATTTCTTTTATTTGTTCTTACCAAAAGGTGAAAAATCTAAAGCAAATTCAGTTTGCTCTGGAACTGCTGATGCTGGAAACTAGCCAATTAGGCAGACTCAAGGGACTCTTTAGTTGAAATGAGCATACCCAAGAATGTATTTTATCTAATACATAAATGGACTGATCGATTGCATACTAAGCAATTCAACTGAGAGACATTCCTTCTGCCACAACTGACCACCTTTATTGACATAAGCCATGAAAGGTGAATCCAGGTATATGCCAAGGACATGTGCCACTCTGCCCCCTCACCACCAACTATGAAACACTGTTTCACTCAGGAGTCCAATCTCCTGCCAGCACGAAGCACGTTAATAGCGTTCCTTGCTATGACATCTTCACAATAAATTTTGCCTTTATGTAGTTAATTTGTTGGTTTCAGTTTCTTTCCTCCCCCTACTCTGGCGGCATGACGCCAGTTGGAACTGTTTTTTGGGCAAGAGTAGGATTTAAAAATTCTGACACATGCAGAAATTTTACATTTTAATTATGGTGGCTTCTGACATC